ATGCCCGTGGGGGGGGGGTGCTCTTAATCCAAGGAAGTGAATTTATTCTTCCCTTTGATTGTACCTGATTACTTTCCATTCCCCAGCAACTACACCTATAGATTTAGTGCTTACCACTAAGTGTGGGATATGTGCAGTCATGCAAGGAGCTTTTCTCTCCACCTTTCCCCTTAAAATATCCTTGATGTTCCTGACAGGGATATTAAGGTTTTCTGTCTTGGCAATACTGATTAGGCTTCAGCTCCCTCTAAGTGGCTATGACTTGCAGAAACCAAACCAAACTGCCCTGCAAGTTTCCACTTGCCTGTAAGTTGAGCCAGCTACTGGAGCTGTGACCTTTGGGTGGGCAACATGCTTAATTAGTAAGAGGATAATGAACCAGGAGGTTAGCCCTACTTGAATCATTCAGCTGAATTTTCATTTTTAATTGCTCTGCAGTGTTTGGTGGACAACATTTGGCTAGGGCAGAAATTGTGGTCCTGTAGTTGCCATTTTAGCAATCGGTTGGCCACTGCCCTGTACCCCCTCTATTAGTCTTACGGTCATTTTAGTGTACAGGTAAGGCTGTTGATTCAGTGGGGAAGGGATATAAAGCTAGGGTGTCATAACTGAGTTTTCAGAGATTAGCATCTCAAGCTCACTGAGCATTTTCATTCCTTCAGGAGTCTTGTCAGTCTGATCCTGTTCAAAGGTACCATTGTTCAAGCAGTATGCATCAAGAAAGGGGATAGAAGAAAAAAACCTACAGACATGGTAGTGTTCTGTGAAACTGGACAGGTATTAGATCCGATTGTGAACACAGGAAGCAAAACTTTGAAGATAGCAAAAAAAAATTAGATAATCTTAACCATGTGACCCTTATAGGTTTAGCATTTAGTTGATGCTGAGAATCTGGTGATAACGATATGGTTAGATTATTTTTAACATTTAACAGCTGAGCTCCCCACTAGTGTATTTAGCAGGTTACTGCCAAAGTGGCAGCTCTTATCCATTCAACAGTGGTATAAATACTGGCATTTTGGACACCCACTAAACTTCCACCTTAGCTATTTTTTTTCCTGGTTATACACCTTATTTTAGAGCAAGAATTTTGCCTAACATGACTATTTTATTACAAAGGTATATACAGCATGTTAATAATAATTTTTTTTTTTTTCTCAAGTCGGCCATCTCCCACCGAGGCAGGGTGACCCAAAACGAAAGAATATCCCCAAAAAGAAAATACTTTCATCATTCAACACTTTCACCTCGCTTGCACATAATCACTGTTTTTGCAGAGGTGCTCGGAGCACAAGTTTAGAAGCATATACGTATAAAGATACACAACATATCCCTCCAAACTGCTAATATCCCGAAACCCCTCCTTTAGAGTGCAGGCATTGTACAACAATATAAGTCGACCAAACTCTACCAAAAATTCCTTCCTTTTCAAATACGTTGTAAGAATCTACCCTAGTTTCTGATGGACACTAAAACACACAGCTACTGCACTAGTGGCAAATGTGCAATATTGCTGTGCTCTGCAAAAAGTCTCCCATTCTAATTTTTTTTTTTCCAACAAGTCGGCCGTCTCCCACCGAGGCAGGGTGACCCCAAAAAAAGAAAGAAAATCCCCAAAAAGAAAATGCTATCATTATTCAACACTTTCACCACACTCACACATAATCACTGTTTTTGCACAGGTGCTCAGAATACAACAGTTTAGAAGCATATACATATAAAGATACACAACATATCCCTCCAAACTGCCAATATCCCAAACTCCTCCTTTAAAGTGCAGGCATTGTACTTCCCATTTCCAGGACTCAAGTCCGACTATATGAAAATAACCAGTTTCCCTGAATCCCTTCACTAAATATTCCCCTGCTCACACTCCAACAGATCGTAGGCCCCAAAGTCCCATTCGTCTCCATTCACTCCTATCTAACACCCCTCACGCACACTTGCTGGAAGTCCAAGCCCCTTGCCCACAAAACCTCCTTTACCCCCTCTCTCCAACCCTTTTGAGGAAAAACCCCTACCTCGCCTTCCTTCCCTATAGATTTATTTTGCTTTCCATGTCATTGTACTTTGATCCATTCTCTCTAATGACCAAACCACCTCAACAACCCCCCTTCTGTCCTCTTGACTAAAACTTTTATTTAACTCCACACCTTTTCCCAAATTTCCACACTCCGATTTTTCTGCATTTAAAATTTACACCACACATTGCCCTTAGACGGACATCTACACTGCCTCCAACCATCTCTCGCTGCTGCATTTACCACCCAAGCTTCACACCCATATAAGTGTTGGTACTACTATACTTTCATACATTCCCTTCTTTGCCTCCACATATACCTTTAATGCACCACTCACCTTTTTTTTCCCTCATCAATTCTATGATTAACCTCATCCTTCATAAATCCATCCGCTGACACGTAACTCCCAAGTATCTGAAAACATTTCACTTCTTCCTACTCCTCCTCCCCAATTTGATATCCAATTTTTCTTTATCTAAATCATTTGATACCCTCATCACCTTACTCTTTTCTATGTTCACTTTCAACTTTCTACCTTTACACACATTCCCAACTCATCCACTAACCTTGGCAATTTTTCTTTAGAATCTCCCATAAGCACAGTATCATCAGCAAAAAGTTTAAATGTTAATTCCCATTTTGAATTTGATTCCCCATAATTTAATCCCACCCCTCTCCCGAACACCCTAGCATTTACTTCTTTTACAACCCCATCTATAAATATATTAAACAACCATGGTGACATTACACATCCCTGTCTAAGACCTACTTTTACCGGGAAGTAGTCTCCCTCTCTTCTACACACCCTAACCTAAGCCTCACTATCCTCATAAAAACTCTCTACAGCATTTAGTAACTTACCACCTATTCCATATACATTCTAATGTCTTCTGTTAAATATAGCCGAACACTGAAATGAGAGCACTATATGATGAAAATTCAATCTCCAATAGAGCTGGTGGTGTGTAGCAATTGTACATCACTGCAAACACACTTTTGTACACAGGCAATCTCCCACCAAGGTAGAATACCCTCCCTCAAAAAAAAATCCCTTACCAGAGGCATGCTATTACAGTGGATGGTCATTTTAAAATTACATTAGCTTCACCCCCTTTCAAAATGATGGCACTGTACTTCCCACCTTGAGTAGTCTAAGCAGGTTTTTCTTTAATTCCTTCATAGACATTTCCTTGCTCACACTATCATGTCAAATCTTAAAAAAAAATCACTTTCCTCCACTCCCATCAAACATGCTGACACACCAGTTGGATATCTAAGTCCTTTGTGTACAACCCCTTTTACCAAATTTCCTAGGACAACCTCTACTCCCTCCCCCCACCCTTCCCTCTACTTCAGATTTATATACCTTTTTAGTAGTCTTATTTCCCTCCATCCTCTCAATGTCAAAACCACCTTAACCCTTACTGTCCAAACGTAGATCTACGTTCACATGCACAGCTCCGACCTTTTTTTTCTACATTTGAAAGCATGTAAAAAAAACTTAGATCTACGTTTGGAGCGCTACGCACGTGAACGTAGATCTACGTTTGGACAGTTTAAGGGTTAACTATTAAGCCTCCCCTGAATACTTTTAATAACTCCACATTTCCTCCTCTCCAAACTACAAATTCTCTGCCTATTACCCATACCATACACAGCACTCACACATGTTATCTCCACTGCTTTGGGCGCTGCTTTTATTTACTTCCATGGATAAGGATCTTTGTCTCTATAGATGCCACAATGCACCAACCTCCCCTTTTCTCCTTGTCAATTCTATGACTCCCCTCATCTTCCAGTGGGCTATTCCCTTGTAATTCTTCCATATTCCTGTCCTTTTATTCCTTATCCAAGGAATTAAATGGTTCCTTGGAATGAACTTTATTACTTCACATTCCCCAAGACACTGTATGACTTCTGCAGATTTAGTGCTTCCTCCCCCTCTGCATTAATGCAACAATAATAATAATATCTAAGAGCAATGTGGCAGATGTTGCAAGTATATGGAATAGGTGGTAAGTTACTAAATGCTGTAAAGAGCTTTTATGAGGATAGTGAGGCTCAGGTTAGGGTGTGTAGAAAAGAGGGAGAATACTTCCCGGTAAAAGTAGGTCTTAGACAGGGATGTGTAATGTCACCATGGTTGTTTAATATATTTATAGATGGGGTTGTAAAAGAAGTAAATGCTAGGGTGTTCGGGAGAGGGGTGGGATTAAATTATGGGGAATCAAATTCAAAATGGGAATTGACACAGTTACTTTTTGCTGATGATACTGTGCTTACGGGAGATTCTAAAGAAAAATTGCAAAGGTTAGTGGATGAGTTTGAGAATGTGTGTAAAGGTAGAAAGTTGAAAGTGAACATAGAAAAGAGTAAGGTGATGAGGGTATCAATGATTTAGATAAAGAAAAATTGGATATCAAATTGGGGAGGAGGAGTATGGAAGAAGTGAATGTTTTCAGATACTTGGGAGTTGAGTGTCGGCGGATGGATTTATGAAGGATGAGGTTAATCATAGAATTGATGAGGGAAAAAAGGTGAGTGGTGCGTTGAGGTATATGTGGAGTCAAAAAACGTTATCTATGGAGGCAAAGAAGGGAATGTATGAAAGTATAGTAGTACCAACACTCTTATATGGATGTGAAGCTTGGGTGGTAAATGCAGCAGCGAGGAGGAGACGGTTGGAGGCAGTGGAGATGTCCTGTCTAAGGGCAATGTGTGGTGTAAATATTATGCAGAAAATTCGGAGTGTGGAAATTAGGAGAAGGTGTGGAGTTAATAAAAAGCATTAGTCAGAGGGCAGAAGGAGGTTGTTGAGGTGGTTTGGTCATTTAGAGAGAATGGATCAAAGTAGAATGACATGGAAAGCATATAAATCTATAGGGGAAGGAAAGAGGGGTAGGGGTCGTCCTCGAAAGAGGGGTGTAAAGGAGGTTTTGTGTGGTGAGGGGCTTGGACTTCCAGCAAGCGTGCATGAGCGTGTTAGATAGGAGTGAATGGAGACGAATGATACTTGGGACCTGACGATCTGTTGGAGTGTGAGCAGGGTAATATTTAGTGAAGGGATTCAGGGAAACCGGTTATTTTCATATAGTCGGACTTGAGTCCTGGAAATGGGAAGTACAATGCCTGCACTTTAAAGGAGGGGTTTGGGATATTGGCAGTTTGGAGGGATATGTTGTGTATCTCTATACGTATATGCTTCTAAACTGTTATATTCTGAGCACCTCTGCAAAAGCAGTGATAATGTGTGAGTGTGGTGAAAGTGTTGAATGATGATGAAAGTATTTTCTTTTTGGGGATTTTCTTTCTTTTTTTTGGGTCACCCTGCCTCGGTGGGAGACGACCGACTTGTTGAAAAAAAAAAAAAAAAAAAAAAATCTAAGAGCCTCTGCAAAAAGTGATTGTGTAAATAATAGTGAAAGTTTTTTTTTTGGGGGGTTACCCTGTCTCAGTGGGAGATGGCAGATATGTTATAAAAAAAAAAATATATATAGATTTCAACCCTTCAAAAATATTACTTTTAAGTTGACCCCCTAGTTTTTTATGTAAAAAATAATGTCCTTAAAATAGACCTATACTCGAGTATACATGTTAGTCAAAATATGTCATCAGTTTGAGAGCATATCCCGAGATCTGGCAGGTACATCATAAACAAACATGTCATCAGCACACTGTATATGAACTGATGAACCCACTGAAGCAATTAAGGCTTGTTCTTCTATTATTGATATACTTTCTTCCTCCTGGAAGAAAAGAAATTGGGAAATTTAACCATGCAAGTCTTGCAGAGATACAATGCATACCAAAGGTACCATTAGTATGTAGTATCAGTTATGCATACAATGCAAAAATTACCGTACCAATTGCACTTCGAAAACTGTTGTTTCATGAGCAAGGCAGTAAAAAACAAAATTGTTTAGATAATCCAGTACTCCTAATTCATAATATAAAATCTGATCATTAAAGCACTTTGGATTTAAACATTAACATAGTCTTGGGATTATTCACATTACTAACTTGCCAGTACAAGAAATAAAGATTATTTTTTTTTTTTCAACATACCGGCTGTCTCCAACTGAAGCAGGGTGACCCAAAAAAGAAAAACACTTTCACCATCATTCACATGTAATCAGTCTTTGCAGAGGCACTCAGATATGGCAGTTTAGATGTCCCTCCAAACTGCCAATATCCCAACCCCTTGCCCTCTGAAGTGCGGGCATTGTACTTCCCACTTCCAGGACTCAAGTCCAGCTAACCGGTTCCCCTGAATCAATTAACAAAATATTACCCTACTCACACTCCAACAGCTCATCAGGTCCCATAAACCACTTGTCTCCATTCACCCCTATCTAACATGCTCACTCATGCTTGCTGGAAGTCCAAGCCCCTTGCCCAAAAAACCTCCTTTACCTCCTCCCTCCAACCTTTTCGAGGATGACTCCTACCCCGCCTTCCCTTCCCTACAGATTTATACGCTCTCTAAGTCATTTTACTTTGTTCCAGTATTTAATATAACCTTCAAGTTGGAAGCTCTTGTCATGGTGAAAAGGGCTTTTGATCTGAGGACTTGCCCCTCTCCCCCTTCCTCAGATTGAATCTAAATACTGGTACTCTTCAATGCTCCCTCTCCTTTTGGTCTTACTTGGGATATTTACTCTTATGAAAGTCGCCCCTGTTCTACCATTGGTAATGCTATGGTGGTTGGCTCATCTTAGGGCATGTCAGATGATTATCTGGTGAGACATCAGATGGCCCACTGACAGTGCCTCTGATGGCAGAGGTCTATAGAGCTAGAAGTGGCAACAAGGTGTATGATTCCTGATATTCCTACCAGTTTGTCCGCCACCATGATCAGTTGAAAACTGCGCTGTATGACCCTTGTAGGTTTAGCGCTTCTTTTTGATGATAATAATAATAATCAGTTGAAAAACTATTGCACTGTCAGTGCTCTTTTCTAAACAAGCAACCTTAGAGGTGTAATTTTTGTATCATGCACCAGGTAAGGTAAGAGGGTTTTTGGGAAACTATGGCACAACCTGTTAGAGTGGAGGTGCCCATGGTAAAGGGCAAGTAAGTGGGTTCTTTTAGTTTATTCTTGGAGTTCTCTTTGCCCCCTTTCCTTTCCCCTATTTATTGTTTACAATTGGATCTTCATTGACTACAATACCTCCACCAACCCCTAGTTTGCTATAGACCTGCCTCAGAACTTGCATATTCTTGTAGGCAATCACTTGTAGCCTGAAACTGGTATCAGCAGTCCATCTGTTCTAATACCTGGTTTTATCTAGACTATGAAACCAGTTTCCCTATGACAAAGACAAAGATTGTCTGTGTGCCAAAAGATAGTGCCTTGAGGTCAACTGGCAAGGGAATGATAGACAAGCTGCTATGCTGACATAGTACATGTACACCTTTATCACATACAACCAAGAAATTTTGAAGCATACCTGAGCAATCACAAACTTAGCTAATACGGGTCATGAGTTATTGTGCAAGACCTCTTTTTTTCATTCTCTAATAAGTGGAATGTGCATCATCAGTTAATGATGCTAAGCAGGCTGATAAAAAAAAAAAATAATCCCCACACCAGCAGTGGGATCACGATAACTACACTGAAACACCACCCAAAATTCACACCATGGGATGGTTCACATCCTTCACACAGTTATACAATACTTCACTTCACAGGCTGCTGTCATCTTCCAAATACAATTAGAATGACTACACCTCCCATTCACAGAAGTTGAAGTGTATATCCACTCTGCTTGCAGAAGACAGTACCTAATCAATATAGGTAAACTGACATTTAATTGCCATGAGCTTCCCTCAATATACAAAGTAGGTCAATGCCTGCTGGTGAGGAAACTCACACGAACAATGCAACAAAACTCCAAATGCTGGTGATATGGCCACCCAGCAAAATACTGCAGATCACTGGAAAAATATCCAATTTGTGGAGAAAGATCCTAATGACCCAGCCTGTAACTGAACCCTCTTTCTACCTGAACTACGGAAAAAGCATGCCCCTCATATTCTTGTCAGTAACCTATTTTCCTTTGGGAAAGATTTGATATTTGAAGGAGAAAGAGGGTACATTGTAATAAGTGATCCAACTATGCCTACGGGAAAATTCCACATTGCTCCTGCTCCTACCTCAGCACCATAAGATGACCTCTATCAGTGGATAACCCTTATGATGTTCTCACATCTAATGTTCCTACCTCTTCACCAGCTGTCACTATCTTCCAGCCTACACAGTCCTCTTCATGCACACTTTACAGCAAGGTGAAAGAGACAGAAGGATAGGCAGAGATGTTATGAAAAGGATACTGCCAGAGAGGAGGGAAGGGGGTCACATTTAGAGAGGTAAATCAATATCAGTTAGAAAATCTGCATTAAAGCAGGACTGTCATATTTAAATTCACTCCTGGACCTACTGTGTTTTGACTACAAATATTTGATGAACATTCTGACATTGCCTTAATTTTGCACACCTTTTTAACATCCCCATCATTCTCTCTAGCCAAACTTTCTTTTAGCAACTGGTTATACTTGTAAATCATGAGCCTTTAATTCATCCACTTTCATTGTTAATACTAACCTTTGTATCACATCTTCCTCATAATCTGATTCCAGTTTCACAGCCTACCTCTCAACCTTATATCCATTAGCACATAGACCAGCACCTCATAGTCCATCACACATTATATACTGTATTTTATGGCAAACAAGACACTCCAGTGTTGTGGACGCCCCCCCATCCCAACTCTGATTGGCTAAATTTTTTAAAAAATGATAAATGGTACTTCGGCCTCCAAGACACTGGGTAAATTTTCGAGACTTATTTTGGGAAAAAAAATAGTATCTTCAATGCCGTAATATACAGTATTTTATATCGTAGTTTGCCATACAGCATTCTAAATATTGTACTGAGGAATAAAATCTCTTTAAAAGTTCTACACTCATTTCATTCAGTTCTGACTCATATCAATAAATTGAGGAATTAATTTTAATATAACAAAAAACATTTACCTTTGAGTTCGCTTTACATTTTGCTTTGTATCTCTGTGAAAAGTGATTTAACAAGAGAGTTTTAGCTCCAATGGTTTTAGCAAATGTGACAGCTTGCAGTGGTGTTGAGTGTCCATTCTCTACAGCCTTGTCCTTGAGGGTATCATCGTAAGTAGCCTCATGGACAACAACATCACAGGATCTGCAATACAGTAAACACCAACTTCAATGGGTTATATAATTTGCTAAAAAACTTTAAAGTTCTTAAGTACAGAAAATCTTTCTCTGTAGTAATAAAAAAACATTCATGTGTATGTATTCATGTAATAATTATATTAAAGGTCCTGTTATCTGATTTCAAGTGAAGACTCACAGTAAATAGTAACTAATGGACAACTTATGACAAGCAAAAAATCAGTTGATTACATCCTTTTTTTCTCAAATTAGAAGCTTTATATTCTTTTTTTTTTCAAATCTTTGCTCAGTAATGGGTACCAACGTATAATCATAAACATTTCCTTATCAACTCTTCTCATAAACACTGATGTACCACAAGAAAGCATCTTGGGCCTCCTATCAGTCTTCCTTTTACATCACTGATCTACCTTGACTGGCTTTGAGTTTTATTCTCAAAATACAACCTTAGGCCAGATTTCATTGATGGCCTGATCAACCAGACTATTGCTGCTAGCACCCAACAAGGAAGGGTCTCTGATGCTGGTGAGGGGATATGTTCCAGTTCCTTGAATCAAGCCTGAATGTCTTCCATTTCCCCCAGGTGCTGTATGACTCCTATAGGTTTAGTGCTCCCCATCCCCATTAATAAATCCCTTTAGGGGGCAGGTCCGAGTGTGCTTGGACCTAAACGCATGGTTTTCTCAGGTCCATATCTTTACACCCTCCACCCTGAGAAGGGTGGAGGGTTAGAGGGTCAACAGATATATCAGATCATTATTGGATATTAGATTTGAGGGAGGGAGTATATAGGAAGTGAATATGTTAAAAAATTTGGGAGTGGACTCGCCAGTGGATGGGTAAGTATATGAAAGATGAAGTAAACCATAAAACTGATGAAAAGAAAAAGGTGGGTGGTGTGCTGAGGCATCTGTGGAGACAGAATGTTATCCATGGAGGCAAAAAAGGGAATGAATGAGAGTATAGTAGGTTCCAATACTCTTATATGGGTGTGAAGCTTGGGGTGTGAATGTTGCATGAAGAGGATATTGGAAACAGTGGAGATGTCACGTCTGAGGGCAATGTGTGATGGAAATATTATACAGAAAATTTGTAATTTGGAGATTAGATGTAGAGTTACTAAAAGTCTTATCCAGAGGGCTGAGGAGGGATTGCTGAGGTGGTTTGGTCATTTAAAAGGATGGAGCAAAATAAGGATGGCTTGGAGGGTGTATAAATCCATAGTGAAGGGAAGGCAAGGTAGGGGTCATCCTAGGAAAGAATATAGGGAGGGAGTAAATGTGGTTTTGTGTGCAATGGGCTCAGACATCCAGCAGGCATGTGTGAGCATGATAAGATAGTAGTGATGGCCAATGGTTCTAGGGACCTGATGAGCTGTTGGAGTGTGAGCAAGGTAAAATTTTGTGAAGGAATTCAGGGAAACCAGTTAGCTGGAAATGAATCCTGGAGGTGGAAAGTACAATGCCTGCACTCTAAAGGTGGGGTGGGAATATTTGCTGTTTAGGGAAGCATTTGAACTGTCTTATCTGTGTGCTTCTGAAAAGATAGTGAAAGTGTTTTCCTTGGTGGGAGGCAGCTAGTGTGTTGAAAAGAAAAAAATACTTACTGAACAAGATGAGCAAGTGGAGAAGCATCACTGGTATCACCAAGGATCACCACAGTCCTACCAGGGTAGGGAGGGCCAAGAACCATGTGAGGAGTTACTGTCTTTCCATCCTCTGTTATTATTGATTTGCCTTCCTTCAACTGGCCATATACTGGTCCTGTAATCAATCCTAGGAATTATTATGGTGGGAAACAAACAATAAAGTTTATCATCAATATATCATGTTAATAAAGTAACATCAAGTTGAAATTCTGCATTCTTAATAATGTGTAGATGGGCATCTACTGGGATGGGAAGGGAGAGGTCATTTGATTATCCCTGGATCAAGCCTGTCACAAAAACAATTACATTATATTGATGACTTGCCAATTACCTTCATCCCCATTTGCCCCACTGTAAAATTATGTTCTTTTTCCCAAGGAAATCTGCAGTGGATTCTCATGAAAGTACAGCATTTCAAGCTTCTGCAGACATAGAACTGTCCACCTCCTTTCCTGGAACAAGTTAACTCCTGAACATGGCACTCAGCAAGAAATGGGCCAAGCAATGAAAGTGAGCACCTTCCATCTAGGTTTAGGTACTGAACTCTTAAGATGACCTCTCTGCTTCGACCAAGGCTGAGGACCTAAGCACCTCACCATTCCACTTCTTCATCTGTGTCCAATATAGTCACCTCTGCATTAGGCTAAAAAAAACTGTTATGCAGGCAAAAAGTCTTGGCAATAAAGATACAGTAGACCCCCGGATAACATAATTAATCCGTTCCAGAGAGAGTGTCTTATACCAAATCTGAATTAATTTTCCCCATAAGAAATAATGGAAATCCAATTACTCCGTTCCAGACGCCTCAAAAGTATTAAACAAAATAATTTTTCTACATGAAATATACACTTCCCTACACAGAAAGCAATGAGACATGAAGAGTAAAACATTACTAAAATGACACTTACTTTTATTGAAGATTTTTTGATGAGCGATGAGATGGGAGGGGAGAGGATGGAGGTGTACTATTGTTTGGAAGGGGACTCCCCTTCCATAAAGACTTCAGGTACCAAGTCCTTTTCTGAGATTACTTCCCTTCTGTTTTTTAATGCCACTAGGACCAGCTTGAGAGTCACTGCACACCTGTGGCACTAAATATCTGTCCAGAGAGCTCTGTTTCTGGTATCTCTTTAAGATTTCCCTAAAATGGGACACAATATTGTCATTGTAGATGTTGCCAGCACAGCCTGCAACAGCTGTGTCAGGGTGATGTTCATCCATAAATGTTTACACATAAGAAAGCAGGAACACTGCAGCAGGCCTCTTGGCCCAAACTAGGCAGGTCCTTCACAAACCATCCAACTAACAGAATCGTATTTTTCCAACCCAATTTTCAATGCTTCCCAGGCAATAAGCTTTGATAATTCTATTCACTCATGTGCAAGTCCAACTCATATCAAATTGTGTGTAGGGAAGCACCCTGTCTGGTGTGTAGGGGAAGTACCCTGTCTGGTATGTGGGGAAGTACCCTGTCTGGTGTGTGGGGAAGTACCCTGGCTGGTGTGAGGAGAAGTATCCTGGCTGGTGTGTGGGGAAGTGCCCTGGCTGGTGTGTGGGGAAGTGCCCTGGCTGGTGTGTGGGGAAGTACCTTGGCTGGTGTGGGGAAGTACCCTGGCTGGCATGTGGGGAAGTACCCTGGCTGGCGTGTGGGGAAGTACCCTGGCTGATGTACCACCATCACTACCACCCTCTACCACCACCACTTTTATATCTTTATACAAACTTTTTCTTGAATTCTATAGTGTTCCTCACCCTCTTTACCAAAGGGCTGACACTAGAAGCTTTCTTTGGGCCCTTGGTGGCTTATTTAGCAGTTACAAGCACTAAAAACAATGGAATAATACAAAATGTATCGCATGTACGTGTAGAATTGTCCTCATTGGCTGGTAAACAATGGCACACTGGCTGTACATGGAGTGTCCGGGCTGTTCACGGTGCGCAGACATGTTTGGGACGAATGACTTTAACTGAGTTCAGTGTCGTTAACCGAGCCAATATTTTGACACAAAAACGTTACTTAATCCAATGACATCTTAATCCAGGGGTCCACTGTACCTAAATGTTTCATGTGTGTCTTATTCATCTACTAGTTGGTATTTATTTTTTTACAAGAGATAGGATAATATAAAAAAAATTGCCAATACTGGTACTGATACTCAATTTAAGGCTGATACTGATACCATCAAAATTAGCCAGGCTAATTTTGATGGTATTCCCTGATACTGGACCAGTACTAATACCATCAAAATAGCCAATACTCACCAATACTGATACAGTACTCAGTTTTAGGTCAATATCAATACCGACGCTATGAAAGTCACCTGATGTAAATACTTTGGACCATCTCTATTTTTTTTTACTTCAGTGAACATCTCCTCACCAAGGTAGGGTGATCCAAAAAAAGGAAATATATTCACAACCATTCATTCAATTGTTGTCTTGCCAAAAATGTGCTGACATCACAATCAGTTTATCCCTTTCCCCTACACTGATTGCAACATTCCCATCCCTTTTTCAGAGAGCAGGCACTGCCCTTCCCACCTCCAAGAGTCAAGTATGGTTAATCAGCTTCCCTGAATATCTTCCTCTAACGTGCTCACATAAGCCTGCTGACCACTCAAGCCCTTAAAACTCAAAGCCTCCTGTACCTCCCTTTAACCATTTCTGGGATAACCCTTACCCCTTCTAACATCCACCCCAGATTTATACACCCTCTTAGCTATCCTATCCCTCTCCATCCTTTCTACATATCCAAACCACCTTAATAACCCTTCCTTGACTCTCTTCAATTGTCCTTTTCATAACTCCACACCTTTTAATCTCTGTGCTCCAAATTCTTTGCTTAACATGTATTCACACCATGCAATGCTCTCAAACATGACATCTCCACTGCCTCTGGTCTCCTCTTCACTGCAATTTTCAAAACTTTTGCCTCAGGCCCATATAAAAGTGTTGGCACTGCTATACAATGGTACATTCCCTCTTCCGGCTCCACAGATAACTTCTTTCTTTCCACAGATGCCTCAACACATCAGCCACCTTTTTCCCTCCTCATTTATTCTGTGGTTCACTGTGTCTTTCATAGACCCATCTGATGACATGTCCACTCCCAACTATCTAAATACTCTACATTCACTTCCTCTATACTCCTTCCCTCCCTCCAATCTGATATTCATTCTATCAGTGCCTAGACGTTTTGCTACCCTCATGACCTTGCTCTTTTCTAAATTCACTTTCAATTTCTAGTTTTTACATACCCTCTTAAATTCATCCACTAACCTTCACAACTTTTTTTTAGCATTTTCCCAAAGAAGCATGTCATTAGTAAAGAGCAACTGTGATAACTACCACCTTGTATCAGATCCATCATCTTTTAAGCTCACACTTCTTCCCAACACCTTAGGATTCATTACTTTTAGAAACCCCATCTATGAATATGCTAAACAACCATGGTGACATCATGCACCCTTGTTTAAGTCCTATTTTCACTAAGAAATAGTACTCCCCCTCCCTTCTTCCTACATACCTTAACCTGAGCCTCACTCTGTACATAAACACTCTTAACTGCTCTTAGTAACCTACCTTTTAGTTCATACATTTGCATCATTTGTACACTTTATTGTATACCATTAATGTAATAATATAATTTAATGTAATAATATAATTTACAAACACTACAGTATTATGTTCTTGACTAATTTCTTTGGGGCACCAGTACTTTAGTATTATTGTTTTACACGACAGGTGAGCAAACACTAGTCCTAGTGTTTGCTCACCTGTCTTCTGAAACGCTTTGTCAATATCAGTTACCAAAGTTTACTTCAGTTTTTGGAGAGCTCTCTTTATTCATAACATCTTCAGCTAATTAAACCTAATACAGGTGGGGTCCGTTTATATAGCAGGTTGGGTTCTGGGCTCCCACTGTAAAGCAAAAATCACTGTAAAGTGAAGCACAGCCTTTTTTCATTTTCAAATGCATATAAAAGCCTGATAACATGTTCACACTATCAAATATTAAATGAGCAATAGAGTTTGGCCTAAAAAATGCATATACAGTACACACATTACTTCTCTTAAAATATTTTTGTCCTTAGCTTATAGTGAGTGGTGAACATATTTACTGTAGGAAGTTTGAATAAATGAAGAATGGGTATAACTGAAAACCACTGCATTAGCAAAATGCCATAAAGTGAAGTACTGTAAAGCAGGGCCTGCCTGTGCAGGGTTTAATGCATTTAAATTGCAGGAAAATCAATACTGTAAAAGACTTTGATGCATTTGTCCAGCTTTGTGCATTCTGACCTTGTGTACTTGAACATTTTACAGTTGGTAAAGTGCTCTTTACATACTTGTTGTGTAGTCAAATAACAAGTAGCAGATGGAGTAGGAAGTTGAAAGAAAACTACATTTGCAAAAGTGTGAAATGTACACGAGAGCAAACAGTATGTATGGTACTAAAAATTTATAGAGTAAAGTAAGTGTTCCACATGACATTTATATTTATATACTGTACACATTTAAACATTTCCTTCTGTTCGTGTTGTGTTCCTTATGTTTGGTCATAATTTCTTAAGAACATTAGCTCAGTGTTGTACTAACCTAACTGAACTAGAAGTCACAGGAGTCCAAGAACATAGCTTTCAAGTATCTTCAAGAAAGAAAAGACTACTGTATATTTCTACATATAAACTGTCATGAAAATGATCCTAGTGTATAACAAGTTTCAGATGGAGAGATCATACAGATGCTTGTTATTAACACCCAAAATGTGAGGCTAACATCAGTGATGATTAGTTGTCCAGGATTATCAGACCTCTGAATAAAGCTTCGTCTCCAGCATTCCATATTACTGATGCTCCACTGTTTACAATCTGTTTTCTAGGTCTAATAGCCGAGAAATTTCTTTGACCCACCTGGCTTTATCCCTAAGGCTAACAGCTTGTTCTTGTCTAGTGTGCCAACCCTGTCCTTCTCTTTAACTACAAAACCAAAGGTTGGCACCCGGTGATGTATCCAGCCAGCTGTTACATTCCAATGCTCATCATCCTTGCTGTAATGATAAGCACAGTTCATTTCATGTTAAACATTCTTTTTGTTTCTACAAAGATAACATAAAATAACAGCTTTACTCCTAATGCAAAGAATGAGACTCACTTTTGACCATACTGATTGTAGAGTACAGTATTTTAAACAACTCAACCTTAGTGCTATTTTATTTATAGTTACAGAAGATTTACTTGGCTTCTTTGAATTTTATATGTACAGTAATTACCTATTGGTAGTTAAAGAGAATAAGGAATTGTATGTTTTTTTTTTTTAACAAGTCGGCTGTCTCCCACCGAGGCAGGGTGACCCAAAAAGAAAGAAAATACCCAAAAAGAAAATACTTTCATCATTATTCAACTCTTTCACCTCACTCACACATAATCACTGTTTTTGCAGAGGTGCTCAGAATACAACAGCTTAGAAGCATATACGTATAAAGATACACAACATATCCCTCCAAACCGTCAATATCCTGAACCCCTCCTTTAGAGTGCAGACACTGTACTTCCCATTTCCAGGACTCAAGTCCGGCTATATAAAAGTAACCGGTTTCCCTGAATCCCTTCACTAAATATTACCCTGTTCACACTCCAACACATCGTCAGGTCCCAAATACCATTCGTCTCCATTCACTCCTATCGAACATGCTCACGCACGCCTGCTGGAAGTCCAAGCCCTTCGCTCACAAAACCTCCCTTACCCCTTCCTTCCAACCTTTTCAAGGACGACCCTTACCCTGCCTTCCTTTCCCTAGAGATTTAAATGCTCTCCATGTCATTCTACTTTGATCCATTCTCTCTAAATGACCAAACCACCTCAACAAAAAAAGAAATGTACCAGAGTATAGTGGTTCCAACACAGTTATGTGGGTGTGAAGTATGGGTTTTAAATGTTGTAGTGAGGAAGAGGTTGGAGGTAGTGAAGATGTCATTATTTGAAAGAGATATCTGGTGTAAATATTATGCAGAAAATTTGGAATATAAAGATTAAAAGGTGTGGGGTTACCAAAAAAGTATAATTCTGAGGGTTGAGGAGGGGTTATTGAGGATGTTTGGGCATCTAAGAGAGGATGGAGCAAAATATGACTAGGAGGGGTCTATAAACTGGGAGTGGAGGAAAGGTGGTGTAAGACACATACCAGGAAGGATTGGAAGAAGGGTTGGGGGGGATAAAGAAGTTTATTATTATTATTTATTATAAACCTTATACCCATCCTGTGGGAAGGTAAAGGTTTTGTGTGCTAGGGACTTGGACATCCAGCAGGCTTGTATGTGCATATCAGATCAGAGAAAAGGCAAGTGGTTTTTGTGACCTGATGTGCTGTTGGAGTGTGAGCAAGGTAACAATGCTGAAAGATTTCAAGGAAACCAATCACTGAACTTGAGTCCTGGAGGTGGGAAATATTGTGCCTGCATTCTGAAAAAGGGGTGAGGATGTTGCAGTTTGGAGAGCCATCTAAATGTTGAAGTCAGCACACTTCTGGTAAGACAGCAACAGAATCTATGACAGTGAATGTAGTTTCTCTTGGGTCATCCTGCCTTGGTGGTAGATGGCTTGTGTGTTAAAAAAATTACACAAGAACTATCTTTTATGAATGTAATTAACAATCATATACTTATTTATTTATAGTTACAGGAGCAGCTCTCTGCTCATAATGACCTACCCTCCATATTTATAGTCAGTTTTCATAAAAATATTTAGTTTTCTAATACTGAATGCAATTGTGGCACAGACACCCTCTTGGATTCCTGTCTGGCTATCTATCACTTTACTTGTGAAGAAACAAGTTTTACTAGCTACCTTTCTATATCACTGCCTAACTTGTCAAGGAATTTTTCTAAACCATTTTCTTGTGTATTTTTATGCAACATTAATTTTTGTATCTCCATTTCTTCCTTTCTATCATTGAGGCCAGTTCTTGTGCCTTTAAACTCTTTGCACTTTATATTTGTTACCCCTGGGATTCATTAGGTTGCATGTGCTATATGTGTATATATATAATAAACATCTTTAGTAACTTAATGCACAAATATCTCCAACATGCAGTACTTTAAAAAATATACATGCTTTAAGATGCCACTTACAGTTGCCAGTGGACATTGCCATTAGAGTCTGTTGTAGCTTTGATGTGGGATCCTGACAGTTCACTGGGGTGACAGTGTGAAGTGAAGACGCCAGCGTTCATGTCCTCCCAATTTTCTGGGTACTGGACCTCCTCTGGCACAAGTTCATTCACCTAGCCAATAACACACAAAATAGAGGAGCACTGCAGTAGGTCTACTGACCTATGCTAGGCACATTCTACTCCCTACTTAAAGCACTTATATTAATGATATCTGGAAGTGCTTCACTCATCTACAGCTATATTACCATACCAGTGTTTTCTTATGTCCTTTGTCAACCTAAATTTATCTAATTTGAATTCAATGCTGCAAGTCATGTCTTAGTAATGCCACCTGCTGCATCACATTAATATGATGCGGTGGGTGGCAAGTACATAATGGTAGTTGTAGTGGCTAGAGATAAGACTGATTTGCCATGATCATAACAATAATGAACAGTTCTGTAGCCAATGGACTTTGTTCACTGTTTCCAAATCAACTGACCTTAAATTTCTGAATTCTGTCAAACTGATCTACGTGAACTTACCACCTCATGACAGTAATAATAATATAAGTTGAGTACAGTGGACCCTCGAATTTCATAATCCCTTTTCTGTGTGTAGCCGCTGTATAGCCCTTGTGGCTTAGCGCTTCTTTTTGATTATAAAAATAATAATTTTTCTGTGTGTAAAACTATAGTTATCCTCTATAAAATGTATTTTTTGTTTACATTTCCCATAAGAAAAAATGTAAATCCAATTAATCCATTCCAAAAATATTAACAAAAAATATATTTTATGGAGAATAACTAGTTTTACATTCAGAAAAGGGATTATGAAATTCGAGGGTCCACTGTATTTTTTAAATTTAAAAATTGCAGTTTGATTATAGTACAGTATTACTACAAAGCCCACAGTAAGCACAACATTTAGGTAAGAATTAAAACTTATAGAAAAAAAAAAAATTTTAATTTTATACAATATTTATGAAAATGTGGGGTTAGGAAGTTACAATGAACACAAGTCACTGCTCACTATTTATCTTGCTTTTACAGCTTTCATCCTATTGTGTGATACAATATACTGCAATAACAAATATGAAGCAGTTTCTGAATTAGTCTTACCCGATAATGAAAGTTCAAAGGAGAATGCGAAGTGGTTAGTGCTGTGTTGATAAATCTCTTAATTCCCAGGGGCCCAAAAATGTCCACAACAGGACATCTCTTCTTGATTTCTTCTGCAGTTAAGGCCATCTGTGAGGAGATGGTGCAGAGAAGGCCTGGCAGACCAAACACATGGTCCCCATGAAGGTGAGTTACGAAAATATTAGTAATCTTTTGCCTCGATATGGTTGCTCTCTGTGCCTGGATTTGAGTGCCCTCACCACAGTCAAACAGCCACAGTGAGCCATCTGTAGACAAGAAGTAGACTCAAACATTAGCACTGAATGTCCCAAACTAGCTTAGTGTTTCTTTGTGAATATAATTACAATAATAACAACAAAAATAAACAATATATAAATAAATATAATACATCATTGAATTAATAAAATACTGTATAACCACACTGTTCACGTTATGTGTACTGTTCATGTTAGATTCTCCCACCATTTGCATGCATCATATAAACTACAGCATACAGTGTTTCCAGTCACATGACTTCAGCAGCTATGTCTGCCATGCTAGCAAGCAGACAGGCTGTTTTCTTTCAATATTTTATTTATTTTATGAAGGGGAGCACTAAACCCATAGGGTCACAGCACCTTGACAAATGGGAGGTGTAATAAGTGTTTATTCAAGAGAAAGGAGGGCAGCTCCAATTGTTTGGAGCAAGAGCCCTTTGTTGGCATAGAAACACCTTTCTTGAAGGGTAACAATATTTCTTTTCTGTCATTGGTCATCAAGTGTGATATAGATATAAAGCCAAAACTTATGAGTGTTATGCCATACAGATGTCATCTGTATACAGTATATGTACACTAGTGTAATTCAAGTCATTATTATTCAGTACAGCCATAACTAAGCCTACATGCAAGAAACTATAGATAATTATCTATTGTGCACTATTCTCATTATGTCCTATAAACAGCCTGAGGTCTGAATGTAACATGCTAATGTATGAAGTCAGACACAAATATGCATAAATTATTGACAAAGTCAATAAAGCTAAATATTTGTGGATTCTCTCTCACATAGGCCTCAGGGAGCATGGTTGTAATGATGCCTTGGCTAAACTAGTGATAAACATAGAGAATGTCGATGTGATGTTGTTTTCTGAAACACAAGTTTAAAAACTATAATAATAATAATTATAATATTTTATTTTGACATGATACATAGTTGTACAAAGGAATATAATTGTTGAGTATACATGCCAAAAGCCCCTTGTATGCAGAGCATTTTGGGCAAACTTAAAATTTACCTAAGATTAATTAGGCTATAACAGATTAAATGGTCATTAGGTGAGTTACAGTGAGTACAAGAGAAATGAGTATTAATAGGCAATGCTATATGGCTTTAATAGGTCTAGTAGAGAAGTTTAGTACTGTAGTGAATAATTATAGTTTTGAATTATTTTTTAAAAATTACAGTATTACAATAGAACAATTTAAACAATTTAAAATATGAAGTACAACTGAGTATTTAAAATGACGAAATTTGAACATTACAATTTTGAAGCATTACAATTTTACAATAGAACAATTTAAACAATTTACAATATGAAGTATTACAATTTAGTATTCAAAACAATGAAATTTGAACATCCTGATTTTGAAGTAATGAGTACATGGTTGAGCAATCTTCAGCACAATATTCAGTATTGAAACTGAGACATCATTGGTACTTTTTTGTGCTGCTTTTGAGTAAATGGTAGGTACTAAGTACAGCTTTTCTGGTTAATTTTGAGTGATGAAAAGATTTCTAAGTACAGTAGGGCCTTAAATTGATTTGCAGGCAGGGGTCCTTTAGTGTGTTCTGGTATTGAATTCCAAATCTTTGGGCCCTTTACGTGCATAGCATTTTTGCACAGGGAGAGATGGACATGAGTAATATCGAAGAGTGATTTGTGTCTTGCATTATGGTCGTGTGTTCTGTTGTAGTTAGCAAGTAAGTAATCGGGGGCCCTCCTGTATATGAAATTTTGAAACTGCATCCACACTTTGCACTGGCTAGGTCAACAAACTTATTTGAAGGGATTCTAACCTAGTAACCAATGTTAATAGTGGTAATAATAATATGCTGTATACTGTGAACATATACAGCAAACCCCAGCATTTTGGTGACCGCAACTTTCATGAAATCCGACTTTCGGCAACTTTTTTTGGCAAAACAGAGCCTAACGGTTCGTAATTAGCCTCGTGATTTAGCGATTGTATGCATCCAGTATCAGCGTGCATGCAAAGCCTGTCTCTCACACCATTCACACTCAGTGTGCCATTGTTTATCAGCGAGTGACCATCATCACACGCATTCATATGATACATTTCGTAATATTCCATTCTTTTTTGTGCTTCCAACTGCTAAATAAGTCACCATGGGCCCAAAGAAAGCTAGTGCCAGCCCTTTGGTAAAGAAAGTGAGAAACACGATTGAATTAAAGAAAGAAATCATTGCCAGGATGTATGGCAAACCCCATTCAATCGTCACTTCAATCATGGCGAAGGGAAAGGAAATCAAGGAAGCTGTTGTTGTAAAAGGGGTAGATATGCTGATAAAAAAGAGAGTGCAAATCCTCGAAGAAGTGGAGAAGTTATTGTTGGTGTGGATTACCCAAAAACATTAAAGGGGGAGTTTAGCAGTCGATAATTTGGGAAAAAGGAAAAGGCAGTTGCATGAGCCCATAAGAAAATGCCTGAAGAGGCTGATTTTTGTATTTTTTAAGGCCAGCAAAGGCGGGTTTTGGAAATTTATAGTGGCATACACATTGAAAAAAAAGGCATGGCGGGGCCAATGCTGACAAAAAAGCAGCGAAAAAAATTTTCAGGATTAAAGGGGGGTACATAAGAGACCAAAAAATTTTAAACCCCCAACAAGTTTCAAATTTGAAAAAACGGCCGTTTTGGAAGAAAATGCCAATGAGGACCTACATCACCCAGGAGGAAAAGGCACTCCCAGGACCCAAGCCTATGAAAGACAGGCTAATGCTCATGTTTTGAAGTAATGCTTGTGGGGATTTTAAAGTGAAGCCTTTACTGGTGTATCACTCTGAAAATCTCAGTGTTCAAGAAAAACAGTGTCACCAAGGCTAATTTGTGTGTGATGTGGAAGGCTAACAGTAAGACATGGGTCACAAGGGATATTTTCCTTGATTGGTTCAATGAAGTGTTTGGCTCCAGTGTGAAGAAATACCTCCTGGAAAATAAATTGGAATTCAAGTGCCTCCTGGTAATGGACAAGGCTCCTGTTCATCCTCCAGATTTGAAAGAGCAAATGGTGCAGGAGCTTCGTTTCATAATCGTGAAGTTCTTGCCCCCTAATACCACTCCTCTCCTCCAGCCCATGGACCAACAGGTCATTTCAAACTTCAAAAAACTGTACACCAAAGCAGTGTTTCAAAAGTGCTTTGAAGTGACCTCAGACACTGAACTGACCCTAAGAGAGTTCTGGAAAGATCACTTCAATATCCTCCATTGCATAAACCTTATTGGTAAGGCTTGGGAGGGAGTGACTTCCAGGACTTTGAACTCTGCTTGGAGAAAATTGTGGCCACAATGTGTACAAGAGAGGGATTTTGAAGGGTTTGGAGATAACCCTGAGGAGTCTATGTCAGTTGTGGAAAGTATTGTGGCAATTGGGAATTCCATGGGGTTAGATGTGAGTTTCGAGGATGTGGAAGAGTTGGTGGAGGACCATGATGAAGAACCACTACAGAGCTGCAAGACCTTCATCTGCAACATCCCAAATTTCAGTGAGAAATTAAAGGCACTAACAACAAACAGACAAATGAATAAGCACCATCTTCTCTTAGCTGGAGACTTCAACATCAACCTTGGCCTACTAGATGATCAGCCTGTAACTGATTTCATCAACAATATGAACAACACACTTCTCATACCAACAATAACTAAACCAACCAGGCTCACTGAAACAAGTGCAACCATAATAGACCACATATGGACCAATATACTAGCCCCCCTTAAATCAGGGATAATCACAGATAGCACTACAGACCACTACCCTACCTTCCTCTTGACAAACATTAGTAAACCACCACTTGAATACAACAAAGTTTCATTTAGACTCCATGATGAGGCCTCAATAAGGAAGTTCACAGCTGACCTAGAGACTTGTAGATAAATGGTTCAAAGAACCGACACGTTGTTAAATTAGACACATGTGCAACTCTTGGGTATCTTTATTGAGAAACGTTTCGCCACACAGTGGCTTCATCAGTCCATACATAGGAGAAACTTGAAGAACAGGAGGAGAATGAGGTAATCAGTCCCTCAACCTTGAGTCGATGTGGTCAGTCAATCAATCTTGAATAGAATACGGCATATGAGCTTGCCTAACCCTTGGGCACGACCTACTTCCACATTGAACAAATGTGACACCACCTACGACTGCTGCACCTCTCCTGCCATACGGTTTATAAGCTGCTTCTCCGCTCATATGCCGTATTCTATTCAAGATTGATTGACTGACCACATCGACTCAAGGTTGAGGGACTGATTACCTCATTCTCCTCCTGTTCTTCAAGTTTCTCCTATGTATGGACTGATGAAGCCACTGTGTGGTGAAACGTTTCCTCAATAAAGATACCCAAGAGTTGCACATGTGTCTAATTTAACAACGTGTCGGTTCTTTGAACCATTTATCTACAATCCTGTCAGACACTGCAACTTCTTGGGATCTTAATACTTGGGAATTCTTCGTTTGCCTAACCCTTGGGCACGACCTACTTCCACACTGAACAAATGTGACACCACCTACGACTGCTGCACCTCTCCTGCCATACGGTTTATAAGCTGCTTCTCCGCTCATATGCCGTATTCTATTCAAGATTGATTGACTGACCACATCGACTCAAGGTTGAGGGACTGATTACCTCATTCTCCTCCTGTTCTTCAAGTTTCTCCTATGTATGGACTGATGAAGCCACTGTGTGGCGAAACGTTTCCTCAATAAAGATACTCAAGAGTTGCACATGTGTCTAATTTAATGACCTAGAGACTGTTGACTGGCCTACAGAATTCTCCAAGGCCAATGGTATTGATGACTGGACAGACATTTTTCTTAACAAATTACTTAGACTATACAACAAACATTGTCCTATAAAAACGAAACAGATCACAAACAAACGGCTTGGTTGCCCATGGCTAACCAGCACCATTCTGAAATCCATTGATAAGAAACACCAATATGAAAAGCAATATAGACAGGGCTTAATACACAAAGATATTCTTAAACA